TCTCTCTCTCTCTCTCTCTCTCTCTCTCTCTCTCTCTCTCTCTCTCTGTGTGTGTGTGTGTGTGTGTGTGTGTGTGTGTATTTTGAGACAGGGTCTCACAGTGTAATCCTGGCTGTCCTGGAACAGCTTTGTAGAACAGGCTGGGCTTAAACTCACAGAGATCCACCTGCTTCTGCCTCTTGAGTGCTGGGATTAAATGCCTTCACCACCACACCTGGCTTCAGAAGCCGCTTAATAAGATGAAAATGAAGAATGTGATCTTCTAAGTCACAGTCAATGAAGCAGAGCAGACCATCAAAAAGAAGAGTGTAAAAGAGATGAAGAGAGAACGAAACGGAGGAAGAACAAAGGCTCACGAGAGCCGCCAGCCTGGATGGAACATTCATAATGAGAAAAGACAGCCACGGTCTCCCGGGTGCAGACACCATTCCAGAGCTGGTTCAACAAGATGCTGCACCCCATCAGCGCAGCAAAGGCTTTGCAGGCAGAAGCTGGTGCAGAGAGATTCTGCAATCACACTCGATCAGGCAGACAAGGCCGGCTGCCACGCCGCCGGGGCGCTGGAGCTTAAATGAGAAAACCTGAGTAGAGATAAGGGGGCCGAGGAGGCGGTGTGCGCCAGGCCCTTATTTCATCCTCGGGGCTGGCGCTGAGGCTGCCGTGAGCCTTGCTAAGCTTGGTGACAGGGTCACAGCTGTCATAGAGTATCAAGAGGCTTAGACTCTTCATATTCCTTTTTGAGACAGGGTCTCTGGTTGGCCTGGGACTTGTAACAATCCTCCTGCCTCAGCCAGGACAGTAGCTAGAGTGACAGCTAGAGTGTATCGCTATGTTAACTTGTTCATATTCTTTTTAAGGTTTCTTTTTATTTTTATGTGTGCTCAGGTGCCTGTGGAGGCCAGAAGAGGAAGCTGGAGTCAGGAGTTGTGAGCAGGAACTGAACTGAGGTCCTCAGGAAGAACCGCAAGCATTAGTAACCTCTGAGCCATCTCTCTGGTCTCTTGTTCATAGTCTTGAGACCAGTAAGCCTCCAGTTCTGATCATTGTTCCTTAAGAGTAGAGAGAACATCTGGACGGTGGTGGCACATGCAGGTAATCCCAGCACTGGGGAGGCAGAGGAAAGCGGATCTCTGTTAGTTCGAGGTCTACACAGAGAGTTTAGAGTCATTTGAAGGGAGGGAACCTCAACTGAGAAAATGCCTTCATAAGATTTGGCTGCAGGCAAACCTGTAGGGCATTTTCTTCTCTTTCTTTTCTTTTCTTTTTTTAACACATATCTTATTTTTACTCTCATAAGACCTAAAAGGGTAAGGGGTTATTTTATAACAACAGGATCAAAGAAAAATATCTATAAACATATAAAAGCACGACAAATCCATTAGAACTCCCTCCCCTACCCACAAAAGTACAGAAACTTTCTCAAAAACAAACAAAACCCCAAATCCTGGCAACACATATTTACTCCTTTTAGGAACTATGAAAGTGATCGTATTCCTGCCGTATTTAATACCCCTTAGGGATTATGAAACGACATTGGAAAAGAGCTGAGCCCAAGTCTTCTCCAGAATTGCCTACTCCCTGCAGAGTAAGATTCCAGTCTTCATTTGGAGAAGTTCCCCGATCACTTCCCAGGGATGACCACCCTGGAAGACAGTTATGAAGTCGACTGTGCCTGCTCTCCTCTGCAGCACCGCCGAGAGAGACCAGAGGCAGAAACTGTGTGGGCTGCCGTCCAGAACAGAATTACATTGTGAGGGTAATGAGAGTAGAGACCCAAAGCTTTTGTTTCTTAAGATTGTCCTGATTTGCATATGAAAAATGAATACTTACAGAAGACGAGAAGAAACAAATAAGATCCTATCTTATTTCTGACGTTGTGGAGTGATGTTCTGAACTGTGGTGGAAGTGAGGAAAACTGAAACTACTGAGATGTGGTTGAACTCAGTATCCATCTGTCTTGGAACCTGAACTCTTCCTGCCTCAGCCTCCAGAGCCGTCTCAGCCGTCTCAGCAGGTAGCAAGCACTGAGAGCTGGCTCTCGCTGATGGTACCGGCAGATGGCCAGCGGTGTTGCAGAAGAGAGCTGGTACAGTAGAACTTCTTTTCTTTTTTTTTTTCCTTTAAGGAATTTTTTTTAGCTTTTTTAATTTTAAAATTTATTTGTATTTTTTTTGTACATTAGTATTTTGCCTGCATATGTATGTATGTCTGTGTGAGAGTCTCAGATCCCTGGAACAGGAGCTATAGACAGTTATGAGCTGCCATGTGGGTGCTGGGAATTGAACCTGGGACCTCTGGAAGAGCAGCCAGTGCTCTTAACCCCTGAGCCATCTCTCCAGTCCCAGGATATTTTCTTAATTAGTGATGGATGGGGGAGGGCCCAGCCCATTGTGGGTGGTCCCATCCCTGGGCTGGTCCTGGGCTCCATAAGAAAGCAGGTTGAGCAAGCTAGAAAGAGCAAGGCAGCAAGCAGCACTCATCCATGGCCTCTGCATCAGCTTCGGTCTCCAGGTTCCTGCCCTGTTTGAGTTCCTGTCCTGATTTTGTTCAATAACAGACTACCTGGAGGTGGTGGCACGCGCCTTTAATCCCAGCATTAGGGAAGCAGAGGCAGGTGGATCTTTGTGAGTTCAAGACCAGCCTGGCCTACAAACTTAGTTCCAGGACAGCCAGGACTACACAGTGAGACCTGTCTCGAACTCCCCCACCACACACACACACACACACACACACACACACACACACACACACACAAGGGACTACAGTGTGGAAGTATAAGCCAGACAAATCTTTTCCTCCCCTACTTGCTTTGGCCATGATGGTTCACCACAGCAATAGAAACCCAAAGATATACCTCTAATTTCAGTACTTGGGAGCAGAGGCAGGTTAATGTCTGTGAGTTCAAGGCCATCTAGGACTTCACAGTGAGACACTGCCTGAAAATATAAATGAATGAATGAATGAATAGAAACTCTTAAAATTACAGGGAAAGTGTTAAAATATTAGTTAAAAGGCAGCAAATACAATTTTCCTGACAGCATATTAAAGATATTGGGACTGGAGAGATGGCTCAGTGGTTAAGATCACTGGCTGCTCTTCCAGAGGATCCAGGTTTGATTCCCAGCACCCAGTTTGCTTTCTGAACTTTGCTTTACTGAATACTATTATTTGGTATAATAAAAACATACAATAGAAGTCTAAATGCATCAAACAAAATGATGAGAATATACACAGGAAAACAACAGAAATATAAGAATTAAATAAGATACTATTTAGTATGAGAAGTTAGGTCTCATGTCCCCCAAGAAAGATGAATTAGAAAATCATAAACTGGGAAAAGGACCAGCAAGATGGCTCAACAGGCAAAGGCATTTGCAACCAATTCTGACAACCTGAGTTCAATCTCCAGGACCCACGGTTGTGAAAAGATAGCAGCAACACATTTGCACGCACACACACACACACACACACACACACACACACACGTTCTCTGATTTCTCCAAAGTTGTTACAATATCACCAAAGTTGTCACTTTAACATGTGCAGAACAGACGGGCTTTGTGTTTTTAAAGAGCGTGTTCCAGCTGCAAGTATTTCCCAACAAAGGTAGGAGATCTATTTTCAGGTCTGACCTCCCACACTCTCCAAATGTCTCTCCCAGGCACCTGTGAAGCCATCATAAGACAAAGTGTCATGCAACCAAAAGGTGAGTCCAGAGAGGACACGATGGGGGAGGAAGCTCACTGGTCACTCATCTTTATCACAACACAGGGAATGCGAGAGACAGCTCGGAAAATCCTGGGGACAAAGACACTGCGTGGTACCATCTGTGGTGGCCTCAGAAATACCAAAGGTCAGTGTTTTGGATTTCAGAACTTCATATTAACCAAAGCATTCCATTCACACAAAGGAAAAAGTGACCAAGGTGACATTGAACCTAAGCCAATGGAGGGCAAGAATTATAAGAAGAAGCACAAATAAATTAGACAATGTAACACTCATATTAAGTAAGTATCTGGGGCTGCCTATGAGAAACAGCTAATTAAAATAGACAACACTGTCAAATACAACGTTTTTAAAACGTAGGAAGCAGCTGGAAGTGGCACATGCTTCTAATTCCATTGCTGAGAAAGCTGAGGCAGGGGGGTGGCCAGTTAGAGGCCAGCCTGATTTACACAGTAAGATTCTGTGTCAAAAAAACAAAATGAAAGAAAAGAAGAAGAAATGGGGAAGGGGGAGTGAGGGAGGATGGAGGGATGGAGGGAGAAGGGATAGAGTGATGGAGGGAGAGAAGAGGGAGGGAATAAGGGAGAGGGGAGAGATGGAGGGAGAGTGGAAACAGACCATGAAGGAAATGAGGCCGTATCTGAAGGGCTCAGAGACTGTGACCAAGTTCTGACCTCATAACCAACTAAGGAATTTTTATTGTTCTTTTCTGTATGAAGTATATGTCTTGGTCAAACAATGGTTAGACTTTTAAAAATAACCATAAGTATATAATTGATCATGAACATGAACACGTCCAGGTTGGTTAAAGAACACACTACAGTGAGCAACCCCCCAAAAGGGAATGACTGTAAGTAGGGTCTGCTATAAACTCCCTATTACAGTGGCTGGAGAAATGGCTCAGCGGCTAAGAGCTCTGACCAAGGATCCGGGGTTTGATTCCCAGCACCTACATGGTGGCTCACAACCATCTGTGACTCCGGTTCCAGGGGATCCAATGCCCTCTTCTGGCTCCTGCGGGCTTCAGGCACACACATGGTGCATAGATGTCCATACATGCAGGTAAAACACCTCACCCATAAAGCGATAAAATAAGATTGATGTCAAAAGCCGACCCTTGACACAAGAGTTATTGATACATCTTGATTTTGAATAGAAAAAAAAAAACATGTCTGTACATCTCAGGGATGGTGAATCATAGAGGAGATGCCCCAGTCACGTGATTTGTTCCCCAGGCCAGCATCCCACCTCACCTCCCAGCGCAGAGAGAAGACACTCAGTAGGTGACAGGACTGAGTGAACAATGATGAAATTACGACGCTTCTGATGAGAGTTTATCACGGAGCACCGACTATTCAATACGACAGAACCTAAAAATAGAATCCACCCATCGATTGCGGGAGCAAAATCATCAGATCATTAAAAAAAAAAAAAAAGCCCACAGGCATTTGAGCAGACTCCTCGCCATCAGCCAAGGCAAGACTGAACAAAGGGGAAGGCGAAACATATTTCTGCACGGGCTGAACCGAAGAGGGTTCTAAAATAAGAGTTGGCATTAATATTGCAATTAGCAGAGAGAAGCTGGAGAGATGTACTTGAAAAGCTGTGGCTTGGCATCACTGGAATGTGTTAGGATCTGGGGAAGATGCCACGTGCAACGGAGTCACCAGCGGAGCCCACATTAGTCACCGAGCAGGGGACTAGCCCCATGACAGAGGCTACTACATCACAGAATCAAAGCCGTCAGCTACGATCAGGGGTTGCAAGGTGTCTTAGGGTTTCTTTCGCTGTGACAAAACACCATGACCCAAAGCAAACTGGGGAGAAAAGAGTACATGTCCGCATCACAGTGCACTGACAGATGTCAGGGCAGAAACCCAAGGCAAGAACTGATGCAGAGGCCATGGAGGGGTGCTGCTTACTGGCTTGCTCCCCATGGCTTGCTCAGCCTGCTTTCTTAGAGTACCCAAGATCACCAGACCAGGGGTGGCACCACCCAAAGTGAGCTCAGCCCTCTTCCCATCAGTCATGAATTCAGAAACACACGCAGGCAGGCTTGCTCCCAGGCCAATCTCTTGGGTGGGGGTTTCTTAATTGAGATTCCCCTCCTCTCAATTGACTCTGGCTTATGTCGAGCTGACACAGAAACTAGCAAGCACACAAGGAAAGCATTCAAGATCATCAACAAGCTGCCTTTCTACAAACAGGCCAGCTAGGAGATACCCAAGAAGGAGAAAGAAAACAGTCAGCTACCATTTCCAGCCCTGCAAGGATGCTCCAGCATCACCTGAAACCACCATGACGACCTGAGGCCACATGCGCAAGGTCCTTGTGGTACCATGGCTAAGGCTGGGCTGAGTCTCCTGGGAGGATTTCAGCTCCCCTCCCTCATGGATGGTGAGGTTCCACTCATACCATGAACCAAGAGCAGGCAGAGCCTCAATACAGCCCTACTGGGACAGGATTCTGCTCCTAGACGGGAGGGGAAGGATCAAGGAGTGGGTTGCTGCACAAAATCCATCTCCCCCACCTCCTTACAGCCAGTGACAGCAGAACAGGCTGACACACTTGCCTGGCACACCCTGCTAATGCTCCAGCCACTGTGGGACACTGGAGCTGTCGGCAAAACGGCAATGATGAACACCCCCTCACCCCTGAAGTGCGGCTCTCACAAGGTCTTAAAATATTTGCAAGCAACAAGAGGCCCCCACAGTGCAAGGCCAGCATGGCAGTGTGGATAAGTGTGTGTGTATGCATGTGTGTGTGTGTGTGTGTGTGTAGGGAGGTGGAGCGGTAGTGGGGAGCAGACTCAGCAACATTCGGGTGCAGGGCAAGAAAGGGCCCCTCAGTCGGCTGCAGGCGGGACATGGGCTGCATGTGAGAAACTATGGGAGCCGGCCTTCACTAAGCAGCCTGGCGTTCAGCAGTTTAGAGGACCCACTTCCTTCAGTCAAGGTCCGGAAGATGGACATGCCCTCTTCCCCAGGCAGCAAAAGCAAGACTCTAATTCCTCAGCTGCCTCACTGACCAGATCAGCTAGGTCTTCCTCTACTGCACACGTCAGCCACTCAGAAGACACTAGTGCACGCCTGGGTCAAGTTCAAAAGATAAAACCTAAACCCCCACTTCCAGATCCCTAGGTCTGAACTGCCCCCTGAAGGAGCCAATCATTCGGGGACTCCTGCATTCACCAGGTGGCCACACCAGGACCCCACCCGGCTCCTGCAAAGGCCCTCACACTCTGACGCACACCCTGCTGGACCGAGCTATCCATCAATGTGCTCCTCTCGCTATGTAGTTTATCTTAGACCCTCAAGGGGCCTCGCCAGCACATGTCACCACGAATCCAGACACCCTTGAGCGACAATACTCAGCACAACATGGAATCAATGGGCACGCAGGCCCTCGTTTCTTGAGAACACTACCCACACCCACTGACCTTCTTGGTGTAGCCCATGGCTTTCAGGACCGAATGGTTCAAGGTCTCCAGGGAGGCCAGGACATCCTCGTAGTCTCCCATGTGGTCCACAAAGTAATCTGGGGAAGGAGGTTGCAAAGGTCAGGGGGTCACAGAGGAGGCCACCCCTCTCCCTGGGAACCCCCACCAGCCCCATCTAGATCCACACTGCTCTGACCTCCTCTGGGTATTCTTGTCCACACCACGGTTGCTGTAGGTTCGGGTACTTACCACACAGTTCCTTGGTGTCCACATGGCTGTAGAGGGAGGGAGGAAGAAAATGATGGAAAGAGAGGGAGGGAAGAGTCAGCAGGCCAGTTTCTGACCCTTCTAGCAGCCCTTAAAACACTTGCTGTGGCCCCCTCTGCACCCCTGGCACCGGTATTGTGAAATTCACTTCATAGGAGAGGGTGCAGCAGGAGCCACCTGCCTAGGCACCACGTTCTCTTTTCTTCCCTTATTTTGAGACAAGGTTACGGTTATGGAATCCAGGCTGGCCTCGAAGTCTCATGATCCTCCTGTCTCAGCCTCCTGAGGGTCGTGGTTACAGACCTAGGCCCCCACACCTGGCTGCTCAATATTTCTCTCCAAGCCTGTGGGCCATATCAAGAGTAGATGGGACCAATGAGGGGCTGAGCCTGGAAGCAGGGTAGGAAAAGGGCTGCGGGGTGGGTTGTGATTCTTATAAGTTGTCAAAATAACACCACTGGGACTCTTGGGGCTCTGTTTCAGTTTCCGTTCTGGCCCTGGGTCTCACCCCTTATACCAAAGCAGAGAAGGATCTGGTCTTTGCTCAGGGTTGGGGGAGGTGTGTGAAGGCATTAGCACCGGATGCTGCCCAGAGGGACCAGGCAGGGGCTGTACTGGTTCTGATGCTTTCTCCGTGCTGGGCCTAGCCTCTACCCTGGCTTAGGCCTGCTTTGGGTGAAGCATGTTCAATAGCATACATCTGGGCAAAAGTTTTCTGTAGATTCCAAGGCTGGTGACTGCCTTGGAATTTCTCTGACACCCTGGAGTGCCGCTTCAGATGTGTGAGTTGTCTGGGTCAGAAGGCACATTTAGCAATTCACAAGGGGCTGATGTTTGCTGCGCCTACTTTGGGGGGATATTACAGGAAAGAATTCAGAATGTCTTCAGAATTTTGACCTTCCCTAAAGAAGGTTCACTCCACTCAGCCCTTTCAGCACCTCCTCCAGGTCACCCTCTTCACTAGCTGACACCCAACCGAGGCTCCCAGTGAGAATGTATAACTAACTCAGTGGGTGCCCAGGAGGCTACAGAGAAGTTGTGAGGCTTTATCTGGCCTGGGGACAGGGTCCCCTGTTCCGCTATGGAGACTTAAGTCACTCCTACACAGTGGTTTCCCCAGAAAATGACATCCTGTCAAGTCTCCAGCCTTGACTCCAAGCTACCACTTTACTCTACCCCTGCAAATTGGCTTGGTAGTCACCCTGTGCCCAGATCACCGATAGTCTTGGGATCCCCCCCAAGTGATCCAACCTGCTCTATCGCCCCCAGAAACTTCAGTCCTCACCACCTCAGTGGGGCAGAGGAATGTAACCAGGTGGCTCTTACCTACCCATGCAGAATTTAGGAGCAATGGACAAAGATGGATGAAGGGTGAGGGGTGAAGGGTGAAGGGCCATAAGTGTGGGCAGTGTACACTTATGCTGGCTTTGGAGGCCAGGTGTCCTGTGGGGCTGAGCTGCAGGTCCAGGTCATGACTGTCTTGCTGAAAAGGTTCAATTTGCTCCACGGCCAGAAGTGAGGTTCATGCTAGAGTTAGGATTCATATGCAGAGGGGTGGTTTGGGGAGGGGATTCATGGAGACAGGAGCTTAGAAAGCAGATTCTGGGGCAGCACTGGAATCAGGACTGGACAGAGACATCAGAGTCACTGCCAATGGCCCACCAGTCCTGTGTGTACCGCATCAGGCCCAGGGTCTCTCCCCGCTTGACCAAGGCAGCTCAGAATGGACAAGCTTAGTGTCTGTCATACACACAGGACCCATGCCTTCACCTCAGCCTGGCAGCGAGGGACAAACAGGTCTGACTTTTGGATTAGTGAGTCAGGGGAGTTCCAGGCCTCTTGCCCTTAAATAGAGCCCCATCATTATGGAGAAGGGAGGAGTCTATACATCCCCAGGGTACCCCACAGTAGCCGGGCTCACTTGGTGTTGTCTGAGTCAATGGTGTGGAAGAGGTCCTCCAGTTCTTTCTCATTGAGGACACCATCTGCGAAGAAGAGTTGGAATTCCTCCAGGGACAGCTTCCCGTCATCTGCAGTGGACAGGCAAGGAAGCAGCTGCTGCCTCAGCGAGAAGAGCACACCGTGGCCCCACAGCCCAATACCGGAACTACTGCCTCAGCTGGCAAACTCCTAGCTGTCAGACTGAGGCCTACTGACTGGTAATCCCAAGCCAACAGAGACAACAGAAGTTGTTTTCTGGGGACGAGACAAACACCTCGTATATTCTCTACCAGACAATCTTCCCTTCTGCATCTCGCGCCATCACCTAACTCTGTTTAACCTGCGTCTCCTGCAATCATCTGACTCTGTCTAACCTGCATCTCCCGCAATCACCTGACTCAGACACTGTTTAAGCAATGTGCCTAACCTGACACCACTAGCCTTCCTATAGAGATCACTCCCAACCCCAGCCCCAGGTCTTAGTTCTGGGAAGGGAGCAGTCTCTTTGCTGGGTCCTTCTACAAGGCATTAGTAGTCTGAGCTCAGACCTCAACCTAGCCTAGGGCAGGACCTTGTGCCACATGGTAGGTGCCAACACAGTCCCCCACCCTTTTGGCGAGGAGGCAATCAGTGGCTCCATCTTTCATGGAGTAGCTGGGCTGCATGGAAAAGACTAGACTCAATGAATGTGTGCTGTGATTGATTAGTCATGTCTGCCCCAGGCACAGCATGGGGTGTACCAACACCAAGCCCAGCTTGCCTCTGACTGCTTCCACCTGCTTATCATGGTTGATACCTCAGTGTCCTCTGTACCCAGAGAGAACAGGGAGCTGGAGGACAGGGTGTGCAGATCCTCTGATCAGAAACCTCCTGACATTTACCTTGGGTGGTAGCCACAAGCCTAATGAGCACATATGTGCTATTAAGAGGAAAATATCCTCCACTTGGCCTCTGGTCCAATTAGAGAAGACAAGTTGTCCCGGAGCTTCATCACCTCTGCCAGCCACCCAAGCGGGGCTGTTTGTAGGTGGTTCTACTAATGAGCAGGAGCCCAGCCTGCTGCAGTGACCTTTCAAATAGCAAGAGCCCTGAGTTTCATCCCCGGCGGGAAACACTGGCGGGTCCTCACCCCTCCACTAGCTGTCAATGCAGTCAGTCTTCTAGGGTTACCCTGGGCTGCCAGTCAGGCCTCTCATTCTAGCCTTCCCCTGGGGATTGGCTACCTCGTGTCCACCACAGTCAAAGCTAGTCCTTATCATGAGAGCCTGCGAGAAACCTACAGCCATGTCCTCAGGAGGGCAGGCATCTTGCACACATTGGCAGAGGACAATGAACTTTGGGTACAGTGAACTCACCAGGGAGTTCCCAACCTGTGGGAGTGGTGGGGGGTCAGGAGGGTGCAGTCTAGGGCCTGCTGTAGGCTAACAGTCCTGAGACCTGTGTTGTGGGTGGGGGAGAGGGGCAGGTCTCTCTGCCTGGGTGGTGAAGACTCTGCACACAGATAACACATCTTCATTGCCATTTGGTCCTCATAGCACTGTGTCCTGTGTGGCATCTGCAGGTGGTCCTTCACCGGAAGGGCTGGGAGGATGCATATCATCTATAGGACAGGCCTGTTTCCCTGTCCTTTCATATCCCAACGAGTTCTAGCCCACCCCACCAACCGCGTACACAGTCAACAATGGCTCCCAGGAATGACATAGGATCTGGGCAAAGCCTGAGCTACCTTGAATTCAAGCCCACTTGGGAAGGGAACCAGGACTCAGGGGCAGGATCCTTGGGCCTCATGAGGACTTCATGGATGAACACACCGCTCTCTGGTTCTTTTGAAGTGTCTCTAGGTCACCTGCATCTCCTCTACCTTGCCCCAAAGCTCAGGGCAGCACACAGGACCGCTGTTATCACTCCAGCTTACAGAAGAGGAAACCGAGGCAACAGAATAGTGACAGGAAGTTGGCCTCTGGACTCCTTGTGCTCTTCCCCTTCAGGTTCCTAGGCGTCCACATCCCCACTCCTAACTGTTTCCCACGAGACATTAGGGCGAGGAGTGTGGGGCAGCGGGGAACCTGGAGGGAAACTCACCATTTTTATCCGCCCGACGGAAAATCTGCAGAGAGGAGACTTGGAGTCATTCCTGAGCTGAGTCTGGGCAGGTGCCCTCAGCAGCCTCTTGACCCAGCTGAGATTCCTCTCCCAGGAGCAGCCTGGGTGAGGCTTGGAAGCCCAAACTTCCCCAGGAGACCCCAAGGCTGGGACCCAGGGTAGAGAGACTGCAGCAGGCAGGGGCCCTCCCCTCACTACTTCAGAAGCTGACACTCCCTCTATGCGCTGCCAGCCTGCCCATGGCTGCTGACAGGCACACACATCCGTGCTGCACGCTCACGCACACCCACGTGTATCTCTGCAGGTGTACGTACACTCATTCCTCTAGACATCCCCCATTGCTGAGCACACAGCTGCACCCAGCCATGCTCAGGAGCCCATAAGAGCTCCGTGCCTTCCCATCATTCGCTTTCCAGGACCCACCTCCCCTTGCTCTGGCTTGCTTGGGTCCCTTCTGAAGGAGGTGCTCTTGAAGCCTGGTGACAGGATCAGCCCACAGGAAGTATAGCGTCATTAGGAGATGGGGGGCAGAGGCAGGCAGGAAGGTTCTGGTTGCAACCAGCAGGGATGGGATGGGGAACAGCCCAAACCTGGGACCTGCACTTTGAGACGAAGTCTCTCCAGGCTTCGCTGACATTTGAACACCTCAAGGTCATTTGATGACAGGTGCCAGAACCCCAGTGTCAGGAGGGTGTTTCTAATCATTACAGGGCACTTCCAAAAGCCACTCAGCCCAGGCCATAATCCAGGCAGGTGGACCAGCGGTTCCTGACAGACCAAAGTGTCTGCTAAAACCTCCCAACTCACAGAAGGGATCTGATGTCCAACCCTGGACCCCCTGAATCAGGCTTGCCTTTTAGCTAGCTCCGTGGTGGCTGAGATCTCATACTGCTAAGTTCTGAAATGGTCCCAGGTTCCTGGAGGAATTGGCTCCCTTTATTCAGAAGGAAACTTCAGCCCACAGCGTGTCCAGGTTGCCACCCCCCGCGGTCAACCCCGGCCCACTCTCTCTGGGTTTTCCCAGACTCAGGAAGGTCTGAGGGGGATCTGCTAGGCCAGCAAGAAAATGCCACCAGCTTGAATCTCTTTGAGTCGAGGGATAGATGGTTCTGGTCACCTGCACCCCACAAGCAACAGGACAAGAGAATTGGGAACTCTCTGGGTATGCCCAGACCCCAAAAGACCTGGGTGTGGAAATGACTAGGTTGATGTGGCCCCAACTGACACCACGTAAGATGGCTCCTAGAACAGCATGAGTGACACCCTCCCCCTACTGTGTACCCACTTCACAGACGAAGAAATAGAGGCTCGGCAGCACATAGCAGCCAGCGAGGGTCCCAGTGCAAAGGAACAGGCTGGACACAGCTTCCCTGAAAGAGGGCCAAGCCACTACCTCCACTCTGGACTCTGCTTGGATCCTTCTGTGTGTGCATGTGGTGTGTGTGCACACACGTCTCCCGTGTACGTGTTCATAGATGTACTAGGACACCCATCTCCGAAACCCTCCTGCCCAGACACACCTATGGGTTGTGAGATCTAGCAAGGGAAGCAAAGAGGGGATAGGGTTTCTAGTCCCCTGACACTTGTAGCGGTGTGTGGCGCGCACACGCACACACACACACACACACACACACACACACACACGCACGCAAGCATACACTTACTCAAAAACACCCCGACTCTCCTAGAACCTCATAACATATAAAGGCACCCTCTCCGACCAGTCCCATCCCCTTGAAGCCCCTCCACGGGCTACCAGCCCTCTCCCACCCCTGTGACTCCCCCATTCTGCAGGGGGGGGGGGCGTTGGTGCATGAGGAGTAGGTGGGCTGAGGAGTGAGTCTGGGGTCCAAGAGTCAAAAAGAAAGTACAGGAAGGGGAAGGTGGCAGGATGAGGGTGGAACTGGGGGGAGGAGAGAGGATGGACCCTGGGTCCAGGCAATGGCTCTGATTTTATGGAAAGAGAGGAGGTGGGGAAGGGGCTTCACTCGCAAAGTGGCACAGAGCAGGGCGGGGAGGGGGAGGGGTCTCAGTTTTCTTAGCAGAGAAGAGCAAAGGGGTGGTTTAGGGGCTGTGTGTGTGGTCCAGAAGTATCACTGCAGGGAAAGATCCTGGATAGAGAGGAGGGGGCTAGAAGTGCCCAGGGGCTTTTGTCCCAGACATAGGGACTCAAGTGAGAGGGTTGGTTAGGATTAGAAGAGGGGAATAGTGGCAAGATTTATGGCAGCCCTAAAGGTTCGGGTTATGGGATTCGGGGGTGCAAGAATGAGATGGGAGGGGATTTAGAGGGTCGTGGGGATATCCCCAAGTTCCAGTGGGGATAGGCGCCCCAGCCGCGATGGGAGAGGAGTAGGGTCCCTGCTATGGGATGAGTGGAAGCAGGAACATGGAGGGAGGGAACTGAGGAAGAGGGTCCTGGTCTGGGTGCGGGGC